TCAGCAAAAAGGGGGGGTGTCAAAAGCAAGGCCAGAACCAAGCCCAGCCCACTGACTTCATCTTCAACCTCTTGTTCAAACAAAAACATGCGCCCTATACAAAATGCCAGATCCTGCATATGTGCTCTAATGCAAAAACACATAACATCAAAGTTGTAGAGTTTTCCAAGACGAATTCAACCATATAAAAAACTTGTCCTAACTCTCAAAGACCAGAGAGAATTTCTCTGGCCCTAAATCTTGACCTATTTTTTTCAGGATGTTCATGGACCAAATTCTCTTAGCATGCTTAACTAAAATGAAAACTGAGCATATGTACAGCTTCATGGCTATGAATACTACATTTCTTGTTCACTAACCTAAGTCTAAATGTTCCTAAATAGAGAGATAGGAAGTTGATAAAAAACCTATTTCAGCTGACTTCGTGTATGGCAATATGGAGCTTTTCAACAACGCCTGAGATGTTTGAGAGCTTGCTTGAACTTCCCCTGACCTTCTCCAATGTCTAGCTTGCCTTGAATGTGCTTGAACAAGCCTACAGAACTCAACCTGCACAAGCTGAAATCAAAAATGGCAAACCCTGTAAATGGAGTTATAGTCAGTGTTTAAGGGTTGGGATAGCTTGGATAGGTTGTATGGAAAGTGCTTGAACGGGTTTGGGGCAAAACGCACGAGCAAATTGTGCTATGGAAACCAAACTGCAGGGAGTGCCCTGTTTTGCCAAATGAATATGATTTTTTGCTATGGGAGGTTTGAGGGCTCAAAGAGTCGTGTTTCTGGCTCAAGGGGATGTGAGAAAGTTGTCTCAAAAGCTTGCACAAGTTGGTTTTCACAGATGTTCAAGTTCTTAGTGTATTGGACATGTTTCTTGTCTTTTAAGCCAAAATGAACAATGATGTGATACAAGCCTGTACATGCTATCTATCAGCCTGCCTCTTGTGATCTTGGCCCCTCAAGTTGGTGGATATGCTTTTCTGCACAAGATATTGTTTCAGGCTCAAGAGACGTGGTTTTGACATAAAGCATATTTTGGCAAAAATGGTAATGTTGCTTTTTCTACTTAAGGATTAATCTTGTGTGCAATGCCCTAATGACCAAAACAAAACCTTAGACCAATGGATTTGCATTTAATTATTGAGTATGAAATGGTTTTGAGGCCTGTAATCTAGTGCAAAGCAAGCTGATTAGAATTGGTAACTTGTATCACTATGAACATGCCATGGATGAAAAGTGAGTTTTTGCCAACTTCAAGCCTTCGATTCTCCCTAACCACAAATGAGTTTGGAGAGTTCTGTGACATTTTGGAAAGCTTGAAACATGCTCTACATTCCATATTTGAAATGCAACTTGAGATTCCAAGTGGAACCATGTGAAAAATGGCCATGAAGATAGGTCAAAATCCTGCCTAAACTAGGGCAAAATTTCACTAAGTTAAAAGTTTCATGGACCCTTGTTCCAAAAATCATAACTTGAGATCCAAGCTTCTTTTGGGAAAACTTTGTGAATCAAAGTTATAGATTTTGTGGAGGACTACAACTTTCATGTTGGAAGTTTTGTTTGAATCCAATTTCATCATGGTGAAAATGTTGGGCAAAGTTAGGAAAAATTAAGAAAATTTCATAACTTAGAAAAATTCTAAGTTATGAAAATTTTCAACTTTAAACCCTAATTTGAAAAAATGGGTTTCTTGATTAACAAGTTTCATGTTTTGACACATCTTGATGAAAAATGACCCTTGGCACTTGATTTTGACCAAAAAGTCAAAGTTTGACTTTTCAGTGTACAGTTAAAATTTGATCAGTTGACTGAAAAATTTATCTGTCAATCCAATGCAATTGAGATCTTTTGAGCCTTGTGAATAGGTCAAGATGATGCCATTGAGTCCTTGAATCCATGCTTGAATCCAATTTTCCATTGGCTAGGTCAAAAATCAAAAATTGCCCTTGTGCAGTCAAAACCCTAAAAATGATCATTTTGCCCTTTTGGTGATCTGATCAATTTTCTTGTGGAGTTGTGGTCCAAACTTGATCAAATGGTTCATATGAGTTTATAAAGTTGATGTGGGTCAAAATTTATGGGGTTTGACTGTAAATTGGCCATAGTTGACTTTTTTCCCCAATACAGCTGATTTCTAGGTCAACTGTCCAATTGACTGGGCAAAATTTGATTCAAGGCTTGAAACTTGGTAGAGGTAATCTTATAAGTCCAACATGAAGTATGAAAGTTACTTTGGGCATTGAAAGTCCAAAAACCCTTATGCAAACTTAAACCCTAATTTAGGTCATCAGTGCAAGGAGATGTCTTGAGCAGTGCAAAACCATAATCCTGTCTGGAGTTCAAAGAGTCTTGTGAGGGGAAATCTTGATAAAATGAGAGGGCAAATTTTGGGGTACAACACGTACATTCTCGCTAACTCGTTTCTCTAACACTGATACTTTGAGTATATTTGAGTATTTTGTACAAAGATGTGAACACACTAAATTGAAACACAAAAGCTACAATTTATAGAATTTCGACCCTAACGATCTCCTAACGAATTAATGCCACGTTTCCTGCTGACATGTCTTCGATGATCTTAATGATTCCACGCGTCCTTCTGGATAAGACTAAACATTCGAATTCAAAAACCCTTTGATTATCCGTCTTAAGCGCCAAATCTGATAACGTTTGAACCTTATCTCGAATAATACTTTAATTTGAATTCGAATCTCAAATGATACCATATTTCGAATGATACTTTACTCATAAACCATCCATCAATTTCGATTTCAAATCTTCTTGGTTTCCAAAAAAATAAAATAACCAAACAACTCTCCAAGTATATTCAGTACCATTGTTTCAGCTCAATTTTGACTTAGTCGAAATTTCCAGCCAACAATACCCTGACACATGTGATGATCAGGTATCGAATATTCACTATTCACCACTAAAATCCTAACACTTTGTTTGTATCTCTTCGCTCCCGTACTTACTTGATCGTCGGAGTGCCTTACAAGTACAATCCCTTTTTTTTCCCTTGACTTTTCAGCCTGACAGAAAATCGTCATCCGACCACCTTATAAGTTCTGATCGACCAGTAAGATCAGTTAGAAAAAATATTTCTAATGAATATTTGATTATAAATTTATCTTGGAAATTTATTGATATAAAATCAAATTAAATTATAACTAAATCATGAGTTATTATTTTAATAAATTTATTCAAACATTTATTAGGATTTATGTCTTATTGTAAAACAAATTCTCTAATCAGATATGAGCGCAATATAAATCAAAGCTCTCATTTAATTTTTTTAACACTGAAGTACTATAAAAGAAAACTTGTATTGTCAAATCCAGACAATTTTAGATAATTTAAAATGAAAAAATGTTTTTTTGACGTACATTTAATTTTGAAACATCTTTATTCTTTAATTTTTTTTATTGAAATTATTCTTTATTATATATAGTTTTTAATATAAAGTACAATAAATAAAAATAATATATATTAAAAAATACAATAAAAAAATACCTACATTTTTATTTTTATTTAACATGTAACTCAATTGATTAAATACTAAAATTATATCGAGTTTTAGAATTAGTCATGACAATATAATTGATATTATGAAGATTTATTCAAATTTGTTTTAAATTTGGCGTAAAAAACTTATTTTGGTTTAATATAAATTTAAATTTGTTTTTTACAAAATACGAAAACAAATTGAATAATTGAAATATTACAATTTATTCTAAACTCGTCTCACTTATTTAATTATATATTTTAACAATTATTTCAAATGGATTTGAGTTTAATCAAAAACTCTTTCGAATGGATTTAAGTTTTAATTTTTTAACTAATTATTTAAAGATCTAGATTTAAGTATAGAAAGGTAAATAGTGTCTTCACTCTATTAATATATGATTAATCTTCACATTATACAATCTTAAAAGAATCATAAAAGTATTTAAATGGCAATCTAAACATTTTATGGGAGATTAGTTTAATAATTGGTCAAAATAGAAGTTTTTGATGATAAGATCTAAGGGGCCACTCAATACTAAAAGCACTAATGGGCCTTTCGTTTAAAAAATAAAATAAAATAAGAATGGTTTTTTAAGTTTTTTTAGTAAATCAATATCTTATACAAATAACTAAAAGATTAATCCTTCAAATAAAAAACTATAATAAACTGTTTTTAAAGTTTAAAAATTATTTTAATTGAAAAATTAAGTTTTATTTTCTTCTTCCAATTTTATATGTTATTTGTATCATTAAATCTTAAATTATTTTATAAACAATACTCATAGATTTATCGTTCATATTTCACACAAATTATAAATAATTCAGTATTTTATGTATCGGAATTTAAATCATTATATTTAAATGAGAATATTGTTGAGAAAGACTAAATATATTATATTTAATTTTTATTTATTTATAAATTTATATTTAAATGAAAAATTAATTAAAAAAGGAAAATAGATAATTACAATTTAGATATGTTTTTACAACTAATTATAATATTAAAACATTATATATATAAATAAATATTTTTGGAAATAACTTATAAAAAAGTAATAAACAAACAAATGTAACATAAAAATGAATTAAAACAAATATTAGAAAGAAAAAAAAAACTTCAAAGATATACTCCATTTTGATAATAATTGAATGGACTAATATCAGTAATTACAGGCTAATTTAGGTTTTAGACTTATAGGGTATGGCAAAAGATGAAAAAATTGGGTTATGCAGTTATGCTAATGGCTATCCATTTTCAATCTATACTCGTACGTTTTTACTATTTTACCCAAATCCACATCCTAGTAACTTGTGCTCAATGGCTTGGCAAGCTTAAAAAGGAAAAGACTTGAGTTTGCATCGGTTGCAATTAAATCAGGGATAACTCCGTCTTTTCCCCATTCCATGGTATTTATGTAATATTCATAACTTCCCAGGGTAGTTAAACAGATCCACCCCTATAAATACAGAATACCCCGTCCCTATGGCATTTCGCTTCAAAAACTTGTCAGTTTCACAATTTTTTCTCTATCCCCTTCTCTCCTCTTCTCTCTTTCTCGGCCTCATTCCAATTCTTTCTTAATTCTTCAAAATTGCCAGATTCCGGCATCACTTTCTCTCTCATCACCGTCTCCTCCGGTGACTTTTTCCCCGGTTATAGACTTCATCGATTTTTGTACCAAATTACCATTTTGCCCTCTTTATTTTCACTATTTACCGTTTTACCCTTTTCAGTTTTCACCGTCTGCGAGATAAATTTACCGTAGGAGGAAAAATCGTTTTATTTTTATTTGGTTTGAAATAATATTATTTTAAAAGGTGGGTTGGTAGTGACGTGGCATGTTGATAGAGAGCCATGAATACCAAAACGATGCGTTTGCCTCCTCGTCGAGTATTGACACCTAGCACCACTACAAGCAGTAAGCGAAAAGAGAGAGATGACCCTTTTGAAAGGCCCAAGCCCATACCCGTAACCACTTCAAAATTACCCAAGTCGGATAAGCCTATTTCTCGGCTCGGGTCGGAGCCGATTACATCACCCACTACTACAACAACAGCTAGCAAAGACTTGGAGCCGAAGCCGATGCCGTCCAATCAGCTGCTAGCGGGATACCTGGCCCACGAGTACCTCACCAAGGGGACTCTCTTAGGGCAACCGTGGGTCCCACCGAAGGGAAAGTCCAAAGAAGAAGACGACGGCGGTGACGATGAAGGAGAACCGACTCCGGCGGAGGAGGCGCGTGGGACACCGGAGATAAAGATGGAGCGTGAAAGGTACGTGGAAGTGACAGGGTTGTTAAAGAGCGGTGGGACCCACCTTCACGGTGTTGTGAACCCCACACAGCTTGCCCGTTTCCTACACTTGTGATCTAACAGACAATTGGGAGAGAGAAGACACGTGGAGCGATCCCATTGGCTCTCTTCCTCTTGATTTTGTTCGATTTCGAGAGAGGGGAGAAAATTGAAATTTCTCGCCCGGTCTTTTTTTGTTGTTGTTGTTAAATCTGAGACAGAAAATTAGCTATTTCTTTTTTCTTTTAATCTTCAATTTGTGATGCATGCAACATGTATGTATGTATGTCATCATTATCATCCCTCATGATGTATCTGTTGTTGTTCACATGCAAAATACATGCTTTCATTTCAACACTTTCCAGTCATTATCTTTGATTAGGTTAATTATTGTATGATTAAATTAATCTCTGTTTGTTAGCATTTATAATCAGTTGTGTTATTGTTGAAGAAGGTGGAAAAGTCTGAAGTTGAAATTAAGGTGTGTTCACTGCAAAATTAGTGATTATTATAGGATGATTAAAATTTGGGTTTGGATAATTCTTTTATAATCAGAATCTCATGTGTTTATGAAAAAATTTGATTAATTAATTAATAAGCAAAAAAGTTGGTAGTTTAAAAGTTTAACCCACAATGTGGGTGTTGATGCTTGCTTTATTATTGTGTTGAGAATTTCGAAGCAGGGAATTTTATCTATACAGATGAAGCTTGGAAAAGGCTAAGGTTTTACATTTGTCGATCGAAATATTGTAGCTATAACGGTAAAATTCGTATTCATTGTCAAATTGATTCGTGGAAATTTATTTCATGAATAGAAGTATTGAGCTTGTTAAATGGAGTAAATGAATTTGACATTATTCTACTCTTATAAAATACAATTATTAAATAAAATTGGTGGGGCTCCTAAATGGATAGTAGTAAGTTTTTTGTTTTTTATCACTAATTTGATAGTAAGATGTAACTTGTAAGAATGTTGAGATGAAGATCTGAGTTGGAATGCTATATTTTCACTTCTTCACATTTTTTGTGTGCCTATATTTCTAAAATGAAATATAGGCAAAGAAAAGTATAAAAAAATTGATCTATTGGGTCTTAATTTTTAATTAGATTTACAAATATTCACTTATCACTTATGCATATAAATTAGAAAATACAATAAAAAGGTCAAAAGATACTATGTATTATTAAATTAGTAGTATTATTTTTTAGAAATGATGTAAATAGTAATAATAAAAGCAATTGAAAAGTTGTAATCAACTGGATGTTGAAAATTGAGATTGGTACTTCACTTTTTAAATGAAATTTATTTGAAATTGAGACTAGTACTTCACTTTTTAAATATATTTTATTGATGAAGTGTCATTCATTTTAAGATGAAAAAGTTATTTTATTTAGAAGTGAGTATGAGTCTTAAGCGTATGTTTGGTTGGTTTCAATTCTAGAATGACTTAAAACATTTTTAGAGTGCAGAATTGATTCTATAATAATTTTAACATGTTTGATTTTGTTAAATTAGAATTTGTAGTTTATATTTTCAAAATTAATTCTATGTAATTTTTATACTAAAATTTATTGTTTTTTACTTTTATATAAATATATCTAAATATAAATTAATTTTGTTAAATTTAATTATGTTAAAATCAATTATACAAAATTTAATTTTACTAAATTAATTTTGTCAACTGCTAATACAAACACACGGTAACAAGTGAATTATTTGACTAAAAGTATTATTAAATTTCATAAGAATTAAAAAATATAATAAATTTTGTATGAAAAGAAAATAGTCTAGACTGGGCCTGCACCTGTCTCCCGGTTAAGAGGCTTAAATTAACACTCTTGTATAAAGCCCAAAAGTAAACAACTCAAATTAAGAACTGTTGGACAATTTCCCACATATTCGTTGGGGAACGTGGTCCACGTCCCGTCGTCACAGTCATCTTAACTGCTCTCTGAAAATCACAGGTTCAATCCCTTATTTTCACGGAGCAGTTGACTAGGGGGAGTCCACTTGTTGGACTCCATACACACGTAAGTTCTAGCAGTTTCCATTATTGGGCCTCAACGTGGCCCAACAATGGGGACATTGGCCTAACGCTGGGGGCTATAAATACTCTCTCTTCTGAGAGGGTCAGGTATTGAACAATTTATCACTCTTACTTGCTAGCTCATTTTGAATCTCACTTTGGCATCGGAGTGTCTTGCAGGTACCCTCCGCCTCACTCTCAAATTTTGCTCGACGTAAGCTGTGACGGTCCATTCTGGTCAGGTACGTTCAATGGCACCATCTATGAGAACCACTGCTTCCCCGTCTTCATTCATCCAAGACAAAAGCTAATCAGACTCCTTTCTGATTGTCATGGTTGATCACACGACATAAAACAACCTGAATGTCTATCTCGCCGACGCCAACAACAACGTCTCCGACCGCAACACTGACATTAACAACGCTGCTCCCACTGACCTCAACACTGGTAACGATAACAACACATACAACAACAACGGTCGTGTCGGGGGCATGCCCGGCCCCTCAGAGTACAGAGACAGGCTGACTGCCTCTTTGTCATCATTGTCCCGACGACTCGAAGACGAGCGTCGTCCTCTCCAGAACTATCAGCCGCCCGCGTTCTAGGAGGTCCTCGTTCCTGTGGGTGCTGATGCCACGACCAGGGCGCTGTTCGCGGCAATAAATCAAACAAACTACTTGATCTTTTCACAAGGGGAGATATTAAGGGCGCTCAAAGATTCTCGGAGAGCCCCAGAAGACATAGGAGGCCTGATTCTCCTCCTCCCCTTCAGACGGAGGACCGTCCCCAATCTCCCCCACGGAGACGCAGACAAGATGCCTCTATAAGCCTCTCTCCTCGACCAATCGAGTGACGCCCCACGTTGGAGAGGGATCAACCCGTAGATACGGGGAGACGTGATCACGTCCCCACACGTCTAGAGCAAAGACCCTTGGAAACAGGAACAGGGGAAACGACGAACAACCACACCGCCCGAGGAATCCTCCATGCGACCAGGGCCGTCATCACGACCACCATTACAATAGGTCGCCTTCCCGATCTCCGGACAGAAGCGACGAAGACGACCCCCGCGGTCTCCTATCACAAGCTATTATAGAGACACCCATTCCCCCGGGTATGGAGAAACCTCACCATCTTAAGGAGTACGACATCATTGCCGATCCAGTCGACCATATCGATGGGTTCGAGGCGATACTACATTATTATAACGTCGGGGACCGATCAAATGCTGGTTGTTCCCCGCGATTTTGAGAAAAGGTGCGATGGACTGGTATAAGAGCCTCGCCCCGGGGTCAATTACCTCCTGGAGAAATTTAAAAAACCATTTCATCAGTTAATTCACTGCCTCACATCGACATCCGAAGATTGAGGTAGCCCTCGAGGCCATCGTCCAAATAAACGACGAGACCCTCAGGCAGTTCATTGATTGATTCAACCGCGAGGCCATCCAGGTCCCCTGCATCGATTATATGAAGAGATAGCTGCTCGAGAGGGGACTCCTCCCAGGAACAAAGTTCAGAAAAACCGTTGGCATCGAACCATTGCAGATATTCGATGCGCTCCTCGAGAAGGCTAGGGCCTATATGGACTATGAGGAGAGGGAATGACCAATAAAGCCCGGGACCTGAGGAATCATGGATCGACCAACAATCCGCGACAATAAGATTCCTACCCTCCTCGACGAACGAGCGAAAAGAGGAGGGATGACAAACCAAGGGATCCCCATGAACAAAGAGGGCCCGCGGGGAGATTTACTGAGTACACTCCGCCGACAGCTTCCCGCGAGCGAATCTTTGCAGAGTGTGCTAGTACTGATTTCAAAGACGATGTCGTCAGGCATCCTCGCTCTGCTCTTGCTAAGCCCAGGGCTGATCGGAGCAAATACTGACCGAAGAATGTGTCCATCTCAAAGATGCTATTGAGACCCTCATTAAAGGGGGAAGACTCGGACAATATCGACGCAGTGACGCCCCTCGTCGAGATGCCCGCGACACAAAGGAGATTAAGGAGGATGCCCGACCATCAGACGAGACGGTCCCCATCCAGATCACATTCTCCATTACAAGACCAGAGGACTTCTATGTCCCCTACGATATCGAAGAGCCTCTGTCCATGCACAGTAGGTGGGAAAGATTCCCCTCCGCCATGGTCATAAAATGGCGGGGGGTTCAACGATATAACTATAAACTCCGTGAAGAGGAAACTGGACTCATTGCCACCATTCAGGGCGACCTAGCAGCTACCCGAAGATGCTTCAACATGGCGTTAAAGGGACAGAGTATGGTCGACGCTGGAGCACGACCCGCCAAGAGAGATGCTACGGCATGACCAGAGCCACATCCCGTCAAGATAGAAGAACAGAGAGCTCCTCCAAAGGTCGACTCAATTTCATTAGACATCTGCTTCGAGCAAGATGAAGCACCCAACGGCGAGCAGGGACTCCTCCGACCAATCTCGGATGGAGACTTTGAGCTCGTCCCCCTCGGTGAAGACCCTCACAAAGGCGTGAAGATCGGCACCAGACTCCCCGACCTGGAGAGGAAGCAGATCAAGGCTTGCTTGAGGGAGAATGTGGACCTGTTCGCATAGAATAATGCAGAGATGCCCGATCTCGACCCTGAGGTCCTCTACCACCAACTGGCCATTGATCCAGCCGCTAGGGAAATAGTACACCATAGACGTAGGTAGTCTCCCGAGAAATCGAAGGCTGCTGAAAATAAGGTAAAAGATCTCCTAGAGGCAAATTTTATTTCCGAGGCCAGGTATTCAACCTGGATGTCAAATGTTGTACTAGTTAAAAAGAAAAATGGAAAATGGCGTATGTGTGTTGACTAACCGATCTTAACCGGCCATGCCTCAAAGATGCATTCCCCTTGCCTAATATTGACATACTGGTCGACAAATCGGTCGATTATAAAATTTTATCTTTCATGGACGCCTACTCGGGCTACAACCAAATTCCGATGGCGATGAGCGACAAGCACTGTACCTCTTTCATGACCAGCTTTGGCAATTATTACTACAACGTAATGCCCTTCGGTCTAAAAAA